TTGTGCTACCTTTATCAAAATATTAGCTTTCCTGTGTTTCCCAACCATGCAGAACCTAATAATTTCCACTGAACTTTTAACCATAGAAATTAACCACAAATTAAGATTTATGGAATTGCCTATAATGAAAAATATTTGGAACATTACTCACCAGAAAGCTGGTAATTCTTCTTGGCATTTCTTTCCCTTTTCAAAATTGTTACTGTCACATAGGAGGAAGAGAGGATTTCATTTTCAGGTAGATAGTCCAGCTTTTTGGGTAATATATGGAAATATTTCATTGGAAAATCTTTCTTGTTCTACTCTAAATAAAAAAGGTAGGTACCATCGCAGCAGGTAAGACATTTATATTCTGAATATATTGTGGTTCTGTTTTTAAAAAATATAGCAGGATTGGGGTGAATTATAAACTTTGTTAAATAAAATAAGTAAGGAAAACCTATGAACTTTGAACTTAGCTCAGTGCAGGAAAGAAAGAAAAGGAATGGATATATGAGTGTAAAGACTATACGAATGTGCTTGTGTCAACATGTGTGCATTTTTATATTCACAAGTCTTCTACTCACCAACTATCTTTCTGTCTCATGCAATAACCTCAAGGATATAAGAATATGAACATATGCATCTACCCCAGTGTTTCTCAACCTTGACCATTTTAAGATGTGTTCAATTCTCAGAATATCCCAGCCACATCTAAAATGGCTAAGGTTGGGAAATGCTGATCTACCCCAAAAGGTGATCCACTGTTGCCCTACTGGAACTTAATTTATATTCAAGAATGCACAAAATTAAGCATAATTTATTAATCAACTATGACAACCACATTTTTATTTTGTATGAAATTTTATTATCAGAATTGAAATTGTGTGGTGCCTGTAAACAAAAAGAGTGAGCCATTCCACTATCTGTAAACACACTCTCTTTCAAATAACTATGCACCAAACATTGATGAAAACGGCATAGATTCAGGACCTTCTCAGCTCAAAAGACCAGCATGCAATGAATAGCACATTTTATTGTAAATTGACCAATGAATGGCAAACATAGGAAAGGACATTGTCAGAAGAGGAAATATGATTTCAAGACAGCTAATTCCTTTATAGCAATAGTGCAGTTGTCCATTGGATTACTGCTGGAGTGTTTGCCTGGAGAAACAGACTTGAGGGAAATAAGAAAACGGAAATATTCATACAAAAGTTAGCTCTCATTATTCAGAATTGTTCTTTGAAAGAATATTTTAAGAAGTCAAATTTGAGTCATTTGTTACTAATTCAATGTGTCAAGGAAATTCCGTTATTTCATATTTTGACTGGCAAAATAATGATATTCTCAGTGAAATGTATATATCCTAACCAGCAGTGGGATTCAAATATGTGAACAACCAGTTATTGTGTGGATGCCACTTCCGGAAGTCCATTCTGCACCTAGGCAACAAAACATTAGCTACCGGTTTTGCCAAACTGGTGCAAACTGGCTGAATTCCACCACTGATCCCAACAGACTAGATTTTAGGTAGTTAGAAACTTCTAAGGACATACCAAGGGAAGCACAACTAGCATGAAAGGCTATTTTTATCTTTCATGCACCTATTCAGTGTCTTGCTACCTCACACATACATATATGATTTTTAAATTAAATTGTCCTCTCTTATATAAAACACATAGACTGCCTGGAGTATGGTAAGTTTTTTTAATTAATTACTTTAAAAAGATTATGCAACCTTTCCTCATGCTAGTTGAGTAGAGCATCTTGTCAATAATTGGATTTTTACTTTCCTTCCAGGAATGGAACAAATTTAATCAATTATGCGCTTTTCTGCTACACCCTTCCATTTGTAGCCTTAAAGCACTATAGGTTGGAAATCCTAAGAATGGTGTAGTATTTAGAGTTAGTCATCTAGGAAAGTTTAGCAACCTGCATCCAGTCTGTGGAGTATTTGAGGGTATTTTGTTCATATGTAGAGGTGGTGACTGGCTGACTACTAGGGTTGGGGCAACAGCTTGTGACTCCAAGCCTAGGTCAGTGCATTATTGTGACTGACTAAGCCAGTTCTTTTCCATGTACTGTGCCTTCTCCTTGATGCCACCTTTCCCAAAGAGGGCTGGGCCAAGAGTTGGCTCTAGATCCAGGCCAGGAGCAGGCCCTCATGAGTGGGCAAGGCCAGATGTTAACTACACTCCTGGTCCTGCTTTTGGGACTGTTGTAATGCCAGAGGCAGGAATAAATCACTTATGCAAGCAAATAAGAATTCAAATATGTACTGAACCAAATAGGAAGACATAATGTAAGTATTTATGAAATTGCTATGATTCAGGAATTAGTTCTGTACAAAGTAACAGCATTCAAACCCTCTTGACCAGTCTTTCTCCCTGATGTAATGGACTTATTGGCCTTCTCTACTGGCTGGGCTAGCCTATCTCCATCAGTCCTTTGTTGTGCACTCATGTATTTATTATTATGCTGCTTATCTCTAGCTATATGAGAACTATGTTTCACCTACTGGTGTTGTGAACTAGACTGGGGAACTGGATTTCCTGTAGGACTTGCACTGATTTGATTCTGAGACCCCTGGAAAACAGTAACAAGCTACAAATGTAAGGCAGAGTTGCTGCTATCTTTCTATCATTGGAAAAACTGATTAGAATTAACCTCATTGAGCTGAATTTAGATTGGGCTGGGTTGCAATTCTACAGTACATTTCTTACTGTTCAGTGGGGCTTATTTCCAGATAATATATCTAGGGTGGGAACCAATGTTAACTGAATATAAATCCCAATAAAATCAATGAAAAAAGCTAGCCATGAATCAATTCCCTTATTTTTCACTGGGAATTAAATACAAATTATTCTGGATACAATCCATTATCTGAAATCTATTAATGAAGTAACTTCAATAAGGCCACCAAAATTTTTCCTTTTGTTAAACTTAGAAAGTAACTTTAGACATCTGCTCTGATTAATAGCCTGATTAGTTCTTTTAGCAAACTGTCATTTGCTGAAGTGTAGGTGGCTGCACACACTGTTAAAGGTCCCCAGCCATGAACTATATTATATTGATTTTCAGAGGCAAAAGCAGAGTTGTTCGTCAGACGGGGAAATTGGCCATTTCTTACATCACTTTTTCTATCCAATCCCATAATGTATACAAAATCCTAAACAATGAGAAAACTGGGACATTCATGATCACCATGAAATGTAAAATATATGATAACTATCTTCCTTGAGCTGAAGTTTACAAAATATTCAGAGAAATAAAACTGATGGAGCAAATTAAAAGATCCCATGAAAATTTTGAGAGTGTAATCAGCATAATTTACTGTTTTCTGCATGAACTAGAATCTTCTGGAAGATAAGAAAGGCATTGCCTGTAAAAAAGACTTTTTCATTTTTTTTTTAATTTTAGCTATACAAAACCTGGTTTAATGTGAAATCTCTGTTTCAAGGATTTCCCTTTCCTGTCAGCATCACCTATTTAGAAACTGTTTTGTTGCTGGAACTGTTCTAATGCTCAGCCATCAGAAAAGTTTGATCTCTAGCTCAGCTCCTCTTTCTGACCTCTGCTGTAAGCCTTGTATACAAAACTGGGCACAAAGGTTAAGAAATAAATGTTTTTAAAAAACCCAAATGCATACATGGACAAAAGCAGCTTAAACCATTTTTTAAAAGACTCACTTTTAGACAACATAACCTCCTCTACAACTCATTCTATACCAGCTGAACAGAGCTGAAAATTGGAATATGACACAGTATAAAAAGTGTATCCTGAGGCATAATTCCACTGCACAATAGTATAATAGAAATAAAACCTCAGCTAGCAATTCAACTAAAAATGCCATCAGAGAGCCTCCTAGGCGGCCTTCCCTAGGCAAACACCAAAGTTGATTCTAGTCAGCAGGTATGGATGAGCTGCAATATAATCAACATAATGCAAGAGATAATGAGCAGGGGGTAAAAAGCCATGAAGCTACATGTAATACAAAGCACAGCCAGAGGGGATCAAAGGGCCAACAGTCAAGAAAAAAATTGTTAAACTACAAAAGAATTCAAGAACATGTCTTCAGCACTAACCCAGATCTAATTGGGACTTTCAATAGAGCATTTGACCTGCTTTCATGCTCAATATGAAAACCAAGCATGAATATCTGTACAGTAAACACCAGCCAGGGTATGTTTAAGTCTGAAGATAGAAAGAGTGCTGGAGAGACAGTGAATCGTTTTCACTCTCAAATCTAGAATTTAAAATTAGGGATGATATCTTTTTAAAGCAAAATGCACAAGTGTTTCTGTTCCTTTTATTCTCCTCTGTTAATAAAGGATGCAGTAGATAGGAAGAGAAACCTGGCCTGAGGGGGATTTGGTGTTTCAGTTAAATTAGAAAGCTGGTCAGAGGAGGGTATCTTCTTGGAGCTATCCAAAGCCCTGGCACTCTAACCTCACACTAACCAAGGTCTCCTGAAATATATGAAATGCTAAGTGGGTCCCTAGTCATGTTCAAGATGGGACACAACATGTTAAAGAGCTGTGGTAAGGATAACAAAAAAAGCATTGAATGTAAAATGCAATTTACAACTAATCCATTAAAGTTTATGTATTCTGATCCAGCTTAGACCAACCTGGTGTCTTCCAAATACCTTAGATTACAGGATATCCGAACCAACATTACAAACAAATGATACACATAGTCCCAGACATCTGTAAGGTTCCACACTGAGGCACACGTTAAGTGAAGAGAAATAGAAGTGTGTTATTTTTTTTTTTAAGTTGGATAATAGATGATTTTTCTTAAGCTCTTGGCAACATCCAATAAATGAAATTGTTTTCAAAACTGTAGGCAACTATTAACAAGTGTGGATAATTATAGTTCATTTAATTATTGATATTTCTAATCATTGTTACAGCAGTATGAAGGAAAATGAGAGGGAAGTGCAATTCTATTGAGAACAGATGAAGGGAAGCCTTTATTAGGGGGGGGGAAGCAATTTGAAGAATAAGACTCACCAGCTTCCTGTCTGTTGCCTACAAATTGTTTTCCTTGGCAGCAAGCAAATGACTTAGTCCAAATTGGACTCCTCCCAAGTAGAAGAACAAGCAGCCTTTCTGTTAAGCCAATGCATATTATTACTTTTTAAAAATTTGAAAATGTATATAAATATAATTTTACAGATAAATAATATCCATTTTTAAAAGAAAAAAACCCTCTTCTGTAAAAGGAAAATAATTATTTTCAGAAATGCAATTTTTGACAGCAGGAGTAAGTTATTTAAAAAAAATACTTTCAATAAAATATAGGCAAGGGACATTTGCTAACCTCTCCAGAATTGATTCTCTAGGAACAATTGAGCTGGAAGAAAATGCTGGCTGAAGGTATACCTCTCTCTCTCCTTTTGTTTCTCACTCTCTCACATACATACCTACCCACATATACAAGATCTTGAGTGAAACTATCGCAATAATCAACTAGAGGAAGGATCTTCTGAGTTCTTGGGACAATCCAGTGAGAAAACAAGGACAGGCAAGGAAGAAGGTTTGAAAACAATTGAAGTCAGGCTAAAATAATCTTCATCCATGAGTTACATAGTGTAACCACATTGATGAACAAAGAATATATACTTCTACATCCATGCATTTTCTGAATGATATGGGTGATGGAAAATAACCATTTGGGCTATGATACACAACTGGAATTGAAATGCTTTCTTTCAAAATGGATGCTATAGTGATGGACATTTTTTGTTGTTCAGAGAAGGGGGACATACTTCTAAACAAAGCACTGGACCAAAGTCATCCATGATATTTATCTTCTAATAATACCTATGGCATAGAGAGGTATTCTTCAAATAAAAAATACAATTCTGATTATTTTACTAAAAGAAATGAAAAGAAAAATAACTTCAGATGGAGTGGGAATTTAGCAAGCTTTTGGCTGTGGTTTGTTCTCCAAGCTTGTTTCAATATAATTTCTGAACGTTTCGTTACCAGCAGGATTTTCTTGTCCTATTCTCCTTAGCTCATAAATGTCTTGTCTACCAACTGTGGTCAGTTGGTTGCACACACAAGACATTTATGACCTAAGGAGAATAGGACAAAAAAATTCTGCTAAAGATGTTACCTAGTTTGGTAACGAAACGTTCAGAAATTATGTTAAAACAAGCTTGGAGAACAAACCACAGCCAAAATCTAAAACCCGAGCTATAAGTATTTTCTATTATTTCAATTTTAGCAGACTCCATGAATACCACAATAACTAGTTTGCACAAGTGTTTGAAATGAAAATTGGAATCAAGGTTTCAAAATCCTCAGCTTGCCCCAGCCTTAATAACAGCTGTCATACTTTGCTGATGAGAGTAGAGGCATTGGATACATCATTGCTAAGTTTTGGATATACCTGACTATACAGAAATACTACTTTGTTCTTTAGTGTTCAGAATTTCTGAATATCATCAAGCCTTCAATATTATGGGTTCTATTTTGACCCTAACTTTGCCAAGCCCAAATAATAAAAATGTAAGCTCATACATTAGCAGCTAATCAGATAATAAATATTAGCTGAATAATTTAAATAAGAAATGGCACCAAAGGATGTATCAATGATTTAATTTCAGAGTGAGCGGAATATTCAATTGTAATATAAATTCCAACAGTTCACTTTCTGTAATAAAGATATTTCATGATTAGTACTGAATATAAAGGGAAATAATAGATAATCATATAATTGACCTTTAAATCAGAGAAAAACCAGATGGAAAGAGAGAATAGTCCATCTAAAATTGTACCCATGGGAATTAATCATGAGAAACAATATTTCATTTTGGTAAAAAAAAATAAGGTAATTAGATATTTTGACAAGGACCCATAGATCAGAGGAATGGCTTCAGGCCAGATCAGATAACCCTGGGAGAACTGCCAAGGCAAACTGCAGATAAACAGAAACTGTGATGACTATCACTGTCTATTGAAGAAATGAATTGATGAATATAATAATATGTGTAACTAATTACTAACTGAATATTTATCAATATAGTTTAGATTTTTAAGTGAATGTTCTTTAAAATAACACATAGTATTTTTATCCTTTATACAAATCTGTGAAGATTTTCCTTACATCAGTATACAAGGTATTAGGTTGTATTCACAATCAAATGAATATTTCCAGCAGATCTTTACATGTTGCTATAAATGCTATTATTTAATATATTCTTGCATAATTACTAATTATGCTGCTCAAAAAAGGCAGAAGCCAATTAACAAATAACTTATAATTTAACATCTACATTTTCCTACATAATTCCAACTGCAATACTGCTTTAAGTAGTCCAGTGTGCTTCAGAGCTTCAAAAACAATTTGGAAAAGTTGCTTAGGGCATGTAGAAGCACAGATGTAGCACCTTTACGCTTTATATGCTTTAAATCAGCCATTTTTCAATGGAACCACATGGTTGCCTTTTGCAGTTCCCATGTGATTCCAGAACATCCAATCCACCTTTTCAGATTCAGATATGTATATTGTGCTAAGTAGTGGATGTGTCTTTGGAAGATTGAATCATGCCAAATGTTGAATGAGAGCAAAACAAATTCCTTAAATTCCTATTCAAATACACACACACACACACACACACACACACACACACACAGACACAAACACACACCCACACACACACACTTTGCCTTGATTTATCTGTTAAGAAGGTCATACCAAATAAGGAAGATGATTAACAAAAATTGTTAGGACAAGTTATACTGAACGTAGCCCTTCACAGTTGCTGTAAATATACTATATGGTGCCTGGGTCAATCTTCCAAAGGGAAATCCCCTGCCTAGCACAAAATGACTAGATGCTGGACTGACCTTAAAGCACTTCATAGTCCTTAAACATTAAGTAGTATACAGCTAGTCCTCAATTTACAACCACAATTGAGCCCATTTCCATCGCTAAGCAAGGCAATTGCTAAGTGAGTTTTGGCCTATTTTATGACATTTTTGCTACAGTTGTTATACAAATCAGTGCAATTATTAAGTGAATCATTAAGCAAATCTGGCTTCCCCCATTGACTTTGCCTGTCAGAAGCCAGTTGAAAAGTTTACAAATGGAGATCTCTCGAACTTGGGACAGTGCAACAGTCATAAATACATGCCAGTCACCAAACGGCCAGAATAGGGATGCTGCAACACATGTGAGTATGAAAACCAGTCATAAGTCATTTGTTGTAATTTCAGTCTCTAAACAAATGGATGTAAGTCAAGGAATACCTATATATGCTTTGTTATATATTTCTATTAACAAATATTAAAACAGTTGGTTAACTGGTAACTTTAATTTTGTTTAACAAACTTCATTTCCCTTTCAGTTTTCACAGCTACTTAATTTCAAATGTTCTATCTGTTATCTTTTCCCAGTTACTTAGATTGTTATAAGGCTATTTCAATAGATAAACATTCATTTTCTTTCATGTACTTTTTAATCTTTTCTTTCAGTTTAGCAGTATAACTTTACCAATACACTTCATGGTTTTTGAGTGACATTTGTAAAGGCAAGAAGATAAAAAGATTAGATTAGGCCAAAGTTGGAGGCAAAAAGCCTTTTAAAATCCCTTCTTCTGCTATCTCAGTTACTACATTCCTCTGCAGTAAAAGAAGTTTATCTTACTTGAACAAAACAGCATATGGAAGATAAATCTTAAAAATGGATCTAGACTCTCCCTAATGATCTGAAAATGATAGTAGCTTTGAAGTTGCAGTTCCTAGATCAATAGTGCTAATTGAACAAGCAATGGGATTTCTGAAGAGTTTTTTATTGTGTCAAATTAATTAAAATGAAATAAGAAAAAATGTTTAATCATTATTTTTAATATGCTCATTTCAAAAATTTCTACTACATCAGAAATTATAGAAGAGTAATCTACATAGCCAAAAATCAGGAGTGTTCAGGCTAACAAATTCTATTAAAATTTTATTAAAACACATTAAGCTAGTTGAATAGACTTTTCTGTATCAGCATCTTTAGATTCATTCCTACCAAAGTTTGATGATCTTCTACAAACCTGCAACAGATAATCAGACCAAAATAAACATACCTGCAACAGATAATCAGACCAAAATAAAAATGTAGAGAATTCAGGGATTAAAAAGTGTGCATCTTTGTCCATTTTTTGATACGAATGCCTGTGTCCAGTGTTTCTGCTTCAGAACCTAAAACATTAACCTTCTTAAGGACAGACTAACGAAAAAAGAAAGATAGGGAATTTGTATTAGGATGAAATTTATGCCAGAGTGGTTATAATTATGCTTCTATGGAAATGAATGCCATGAGTCAAAGGAGTCTACAACAACTTGGCACAGCAACCATGCTGTGGCCAGCTTGCCACAGGCAACTTGTTGTAGGCAACTCACTGCGGGACAAGAATTACACTAATATTGAAGAAATAGTGAAATAGAATCATTAAAGAAAGGGCACCAAAGGAGGAACAAAATGAAATGCCAATGACAAAAATTAAAATATTTTTAAATTATTTTAAATAATTAATTAAACAAGTTGTTCCATGGCAAGTTGGCCATGTCAAGTTGTCCTGCAATGAATTGGTGGTAGCGAGTTGGCTGCAGCAAATTGGCCATGGCAAGTTGGCTGCAATGAGTTGTCCCGACTTGGAGTCAAAGAGGTGTCAGTTGAAATTGCCCTTCAAGATGTGATAGGATCAAATCGTGACCACTGGCTATATTCCCATTCACTATGTTTTAGACCTGTTCCTCCAGTTGCCACCATCTTACTAAAATACACTGCAAAAGTTAAAACTTTTCCTTTATACTAGGTGCTATCCTTTGAGGTAGAATTTCTACATAAAATTATTGAATCATTGACTTGAGAAATATATTCCAAAATACCTCCCACACCAAAGAGATGGTATAATTTGTATCTATTAAGAAAATCTTAACTTATTGAAGAGCTCTCCAAGATGAAGATAGGTTATCTTAAAAATAAAATTTAAAATACAGTCCCTTATATCCTTAGTTTTGAAGCTCCAGTTTTTACTGTGTACAATATTATTCCAACTTTGACCATTGATACCTGCCTAAAGCCATATCACACAATCAGCAAATGGTGTGTGTTATAAATAACTTCCTACATCAAAGACTAACAAATTACTTTGAGGCTTTCTAAAAGTTAGTGGTTTCTGCTGTCTACTTTTTTGCCTTGATCATACAATAGTAAATCATTTTACAGTAGGGAACACCTTGTTTTCATTTGCATTTTTATTTATATGAGAAGATATTAACCTCTGACGTTCCATATATCTGTATCAGTAGCTTTCATATCAAGAAGGTTCCAGCCAATTTGGGATGTTAGAAAGAAGAGCATTGGCTGGCTCAAGACTGCTTTCTTTATGGTTTATTCAACTGTATTTTTCACAGAGACAAGACTATCAATGAATTCTGTTTCCCTAGCAATAAACAAAACATGAGTGTCAAAAGGAAAGCAATGGGCTATTAATCACACCCTCTTGATAACCCTGACCCTACTAAAGCATAACATCTGTCTTGTGTTTTATGTGGCTGAAAGCCAAAATCAGGAGAAGGGAAGCAGCAGTTTCACTGGTCAAATATTAACATTGCACAGCATGTTGATTTTGTAAGCACCCTGCAAACTCAGAGACTTTAATGGAATTGTCTTTGATTTGGCTCCTATCCCATCCATTAATATTCCAAGAGTGAGTCACCCATGTGAACAGACAAACATTAACAAAGTCATGTCCAGACAGCCAGAATGAGCCACTCCCTTTTCAAGGGAGAAGAAAGAAGTGAGATCAACAAGTGTGTGTGTGTGTGTGTGTGTGTGTGTGTGTGTGTGTGTGTGAGAGAGAGAGAGAGAGAGAGAGAGAGAGAGAGAGAGAGAGAGAATATATACATGTACTGACTGTATTATATAATGATTAAAACAATATAATTTCTATCATAATCGACCCAGACCTTAATGAGTTTCCTAGGAATCATATTGCTAAGATACTTCTCATTCTGTATTTGACCCAAGTCAGGACTAAAAATATATCCCCCTAATCATCATGATATTATCAGGATATTTATCCATTTTGTGTACTTTTATAGATCATCACTATTTAAACTGAGCTTCTTGGGGGCTTTTATAGAGAGCTTTATCGCCAAAATGTTCAATACAAAGTGGTAATAATTAACCAAGCCATCTAATTGGACAAAAAAAAGATTGTTTTATGGCAATGAACAGTATTTATGGATAGATAAGCAGAATGCAGTTACATTTCAGAAAAAGGGCTTCCTGAATTTGGTTTTGTCCAGTTGCAGACTGATTCCTGCCATTCTAAAGCATTCATCATCTGGAAAGGTATTCCAACATAAGAAAATCTATGAAGAAAAAGAGGAAAGAAACAAATGCCAATGCATTAGCATGATCCAGAAAAATTGTGAAGTATTCCTAAGCATGTATTAGTGTTCACTTTGTGTTTCATAGCCTAATTTAAGTTCTGAAAAGTTCCTCTACAATTCCATCTTAAGAAAAATAGAGCAAACATAACCAAGAAAAATAAAAAGAATTGTGTTATATGAATATGTTACAATTTTTGATATAAAATTAAAGGTTCAATCTTTTTATATAAAGTTAATCATTTTTATGGTCAGTAAAACTATTGTATGATGAAACTGAGTGCTTGTTTTTGTTCAGTCTAGGACTTAGCTAGCCAGAAACTAAACCTCCCACTAATTAAATAAATAGACCTTACCAGCCACTGCAGTCACACATACATTTCAGATCTTTGTGATGTCAACCAAACATACTTGTCACACTATGATCAGGTGCCTGACAAAATGATGGGCAGATTAATAGGACTTCTGATGGAATTCAGAAAACATTCTAGGCAGCAAAGTATAAAAAAGGTAGACATGTTTGGCATAGATTAAATAAGAATAAGATACACATTGTGCAATACATCACTGCTTGGAATCTAGGAATTTAGAATGAAGTTATGATATAATGAAATTCTAATAAAAAATCAGGAGAAGTAAAGGAACATTAAAAGTATTCTCAACATCTAGCAAGTCATTTTAGTCAATGGATTTATCAAAAAATAAATTAGCACTTGATATAATTTTAATTATATTTGTCATAACATTATTATCATAAAACTGCAGGTAAAACCTGGACCACAAAAATTAGTCAAATGATTTATCAATTTAATTAATTTAAAAGCTGTTATATTGATTAATTGGTCATTTTTAAGTAATGTTTTACTTAAAAGTAAGTAATGTTCATTTGTTTTCAATGTAGTTGTGCATGATAATTTTAAGTGGGGAACAGTACTTTAGAAGAGACAGCACTTCTTTATTATCAGAAAATATGAGCCTTAGTTCATGAAGAATCTTAGACCTGAAAACAAAATGCAAAATCATAGTAACTGAATCAGAAAGGACCATGTAAGCTCATTTACGCTCAATGCACAAAACCAAATTAAAACATCCCAGACAAATGAATGTCTGACCTCCATTTGAGGAGGCCCACCACTCTCTAAGTAATTGGTCAATCAAGATAAAAAGTCAATCTGGCAAGCAAGTTAAGCACCTAAGTAAAGATCCAATGAATACTACATATTAATCATCAGCTGAAACTAGAAAGAGAAGCCAAGATTGGATATTACCTTCTGTTTTATTTACACTGGTACACACCCTTCAGAGAAATCAGTCAGCAACCATTTCAAACAAGATGTTACAACATACCTATTAAATCAACATTCTAAATTAAGTACTGTGAGCAAGACATATATGTTCAGTGATATCTTTTGACTCCCACCTACAAACACAAATATTTGGAACAGTAGTTTACCAGGTTTGTTAGGATGCAACACATAACCTATTTAAACATTGACAGAAGTGTACCAAGTCAGGAAAAGATTTGAATCAAATTATTTTAAATATTTTACTGACTCTAATATCAGATTAGAATGTATGAAAGAAAAACAAATCTGGTCAAAAATAATTAATTTAAATCTTGCTTAAATGGCCAAGCTGTAAGTTCACATAGCCCAGCCTTTTTTATCTCTTTTGTTTTATTTTATATTTTATATTTGGCTGCCCAACCCAATGGATTGTTTTCCCTCCAGATGTGTGGGACTGCAGTTCCCATAATTCACAATGAAGAACCATGCTATTGTTGTTTTGTAAGAACTGAAGTCCAATATAACTAGGAAATATAACTGGAGAAGGTTGATTACAAAGCAAAAACAAATACATAATGCATAGTTTAGCCAGTTAATTAAAGAAATGCTATTATCAGGATGCACATACCTAGAATTCTTCACAGACTACCTTACCAGATGTAGATTTAATTCTTAGGAGAAGGAAAGTGGTAATGATGGATGTATTCAGCAAATATTTTTTCAACTAATGGAAACCGAAACAATTGACAATTGCCGACTCCGACCACCAGCAGAAGTCTGAATTTAAAAAGATAGGACAATACTGAAACCAAATAATTTTGGATTGTAAAATCTAAAGCATATTGTGAAATATCTCTCCAAATAGATTAAAGAATGGCAGAATAGCGTATTAGTTATATGAATAAAGAAAATGAAACCTTGGAGGTCTTTTCTCCTGGCACATCCATTCAATTTTCTGCACAGTGGTATGGAAGTGATTTGCCATGCCTCCTTCTGGAATATTTTTCAACCTCCAGGCTCACCTACAGTTCTGGGATTTCCTGATCATCATTTCCCATCTAAATGCTAATTGTGTAACATCCTGTGGTGCTGCAATGAAGGCTTTTTAGGTCAATGCTTTGCTGGAGAAAGGTCCTTTAGAAAGTTCATAAACTAACTTTAAATTAATACAATATTTCTATTTCAGGCAAAGTTTTTTTCCATATAGCTTCAGATCATCCATATAAATCATCCAGATAGTCTGGCAGATTTTTTTTTCATGTTTGATAGCCAGGGCCTGATTTGTTCAGTATTGTTGACAGGAGGGATCAATAAAATAACAATCAATAGTTCTGAGAGTGAGTGTCAGACCTGCCCCAGTCTGATCCCTTAGGAAAGAAAAACCCTTGACTCCATTTGATTGAAGTGAAAGTATTTTTACTAAAAGATGCTGGTTGCAATAAAGTCAGGCAGAATCTAGGTTTCCCATGCAGCAACACAAAACTATTTTCTTCATTCCCCATTCCTGATTCCTCCCATCCTTCCCCACAAATCCAAATCCAGTTCAAATCCAGCCAATGCAATGCCACCAAGATGTTTTGGGAACACTGAGGTGTTTGGGCTGGTAACTTTCCACACTCAGGGTAAACGACCTTGAGGATTCCTGGCACAAACCGGTCTTATGTAGATCTGCTTTTTCTTAGCTGCCATACCACCCCTCCCTAATTCCCACAATAAATGCATACAGGTTTATTGCCATTTGTTACCCATCTCTCTCCCCTAGTCCTTTGGTAGCAGGATTCCAGTGAAGTGCCAAGCCAAAGATGGTGGATCTGATAGTGAGCTTCTTTGACCTCTCCCACTCTATCATCATTAACCAGCAAGTAGGTCTTCTTTTCTGCCTTTCATCTTTGCACAAAGCTTCTGATGTTTTGATTTACTCCTGTTATTTCTAGGCATTTGATTATTCCAATCATGTGGCAGGTAGCTTAATGTCTTCTTGTAATCAACCCAAGCAATATTCAAATTGATCTTCCTTCTCTTGCAATTTTCCTAAATTATCTTGTCAATTATAACTCTCTTTGTTGTTTGACAGTTTCCTTTCTGCTCAAGTGGAAAGAGCTTGTTTTCAAGTAGATGCTATTGGACTTCATCAATTACCTCACCGGTTAGCAATTTGAAAGTTATTGGTAAGGAGGTAATTGGCCTATAGTTGCCTGGAGCTGATCTTAACCACTGAGACACCACAGCCAGTTCCATAATCTTTCAATTCTGAATTTCAAATCTTGATGTTTAATATCATTGTGGTTTGTTATACAGCCAGTCAGATGTTTAGACTGGATTTGGCATTTTTACCCAACTATCAAGTCCTTCGCAAGGACCTGGGATAGGCAATGTTGTTAAAAGCATTTCTGAAGGATGTAAGCTGTTCCATGTAAAGCTGCCTTTTGCAATTAACTAATGGTGCTTTTGTCAATGCTGATGATGTTCAAGTGGTCCTCCAGATATTTTGGGATTTCATCTAAGATGCCTATTTTTATTGGTACAGTCTTTGCTTTCTTTTGCCACAGTCGTTCTACTTCTATTTCCAGGATTTTATATTTTTATTTACTCCAGTTCTTTCTTTTATTCAGCTTCTCCAGGTACTGCCACATCAACTATTGAGACTGTTTTGTCTTTTTTATTGACAATTGTTAAGTCTCTGTGTTATTAGAGGAACAATAAAAAGGCAAAAAGCAAAATATGCCTTTCCAAAGAACACTTTGAAAATGAAATTGTTAATCTAATTAGTATATTGAAAAAAGGGTGCAGTGTAAGGATTGTTAAATGTTTTTCTGGTCTTCCTCTCTCAACAATTAATGTGTGAATAATAAAAGGTAAAAGTGGGTGCCTCTTAGTTTCACAACCGAAACCCATCCAAATTTAGTCTGATTATTCCTTATGTCCCTTCCAAAAATAAGAGATCCATGAGCCCTTAAGATCTGCCATTCAGACAAATATACTTGGACAAGCAGATCCCTTTTAGCTGTTGTACTTTTAACAAATACTCCTTATATACGCCAACCAGATTAGTAAGCTGATGAATATGGGAGACCTGTTTATTTACTCTTATAATAACCTCTTTGTCAACCAATTTATCTGAAAACAAAACATGTTTAAACATATGCATGGTATCAGTCTAGCTCACATGTCAGCAACCTGTGGCTCCGGAGCCGCATGTGGCTCTTTGAGCCTTCTCCTGCAGTTCCCAGCCTCCCCTGCCATTTGCAGAGAGAGACAGAGAGAGGCACTTGCGCTTCCCTGTTTCCCCTCTCTCTCTCTGTGTGTATGTATGTAAAAAAGAGAGTGGCCTCAGACTGTTCTGATGAGCTGACAAGCTTATTGAGCAGGGCTTCTCCCTTTGCTGCATCTCTGCAGGAAGCAGGAAGCAGGAAGGGTAGGAGAGAGCCAGCCTGTTGGAGAGCAGCTTTAAGCCAGCTTGCCAGGTGAGCAGCAGATCGGAGACAGGGAGAGAGAGGGGAGAGGGGGGGAGAGAAAAGAGAGAGGGGGAGAGAGAGGAAGAGAGAGAGAAAGAGAGAGAGAGAAAAGAGAGAGGGGGGAGAGAGAGAAATAGAGAGGGGGAGAGGAGAGAGAGAGAAAGAGAGGGAGAGAGAGAGAAAGAGAGAGAGAGTGAACTCATGCACAGCGGCCTCTATTTCTTT